GGGAAACAAGAGAGCTGGAGTTAGCAAAGTTACTGCCTATCAGGTTACATGGGGACTTTAATACACAAAGAAGGAAAAAACTACTTGCCTCTAAGGTTGTCTTTTATTCATGCAACAGGTGTCACATGTATTTTCTCCATCTTCAAAGAACTGATTTTTGTCCTAAATCTATTTCAAATTTTTTCACTGATCACACTTCTAGCAATTTTGTTTGACCTGAGTAAGCTTTTAAAACAAAAACAAAAACAAAAAAAACCTGTGTATAACTCCATATAAATAATAACAAAATAATTTTTAAGCAAAGGCAAAACTTCCAAGCACCTAGTGAAAAAAAAATTCTCATTTCAATCACCTTAACCTAAACTTTGATCTTTAATATCAAAATGTTAGCTAATGCTGATTCAACAAGTGTGCTAGTATGGGTTGTTTTAACTACTGTTTTTTTTCCCCTAACTTCTGGACCCTGCAAAATTTGACAGGTTTGGGGCTGGGAAAGTGGCTCAGTGGTAGAGTGCTTGCGTTGCATGTATGAAGCCCTGGGTTTGATTCCTCAGCACCACATAAGCAGAAAAAGCCAGAAGTGACACTGTGGCTCAAGTGGTAGAGCTGAAGAGCTGAGGGACAGCACCCAGGCCCAGAGTTCTGGTTCCACGAGTGGGGGAAATAAAAAAAAAAAATTGACAGGTTTGTTCTAGCACCCTGAACTTATGTCAAATTAAGTTTTGTGCTACTCCTTCACTGAAGAAGCATAAAAGTATTTTCAAGGAAATATACCTACTTCCTCCTTTTCCTTTTCTCATTCCTTATTTTATGAAATTAAAATTTTACACACAACCAAAAAAAGAACTGGAAAATTCCTAATACATTTTGACAACAATATGATTTTTGACAAATATCAGCTTATTTATATAAATCTACATATTATCTTAGTTTTAAAACTGCTTGCTATTTAATATTATCCTGCATAAAAAACAATAAGGCCAGGTGTAATGGCAGAGACCCACAATCCCAGCTCTCAAGGGGTTGAAACAACAGGAACATTGACTTCAAGGTTACTTGATGAGACCTTGTTTCCAAAAGGGAGAGAGAGAGGGAGGAAAGGGAAAGAAATGACCGGGGAAAACAAAACCTGGATAAGAGAAGTTCACAAGCAAGAACTGGGAACAGGTAAATACTGATTGCTCAGGCCTGTAATCCTAGCTACTCAGGGGGCTAAAATCTGGAGATCATGGTTCAAAGCCAGCCCAGGCAAAAAAGTCTATGAGACTTATCTCCAAATAACCAGCAAAAACCTGGAAGTGGAGTTGTAACTCCAGTGGTAGGAGAGAAAATGGCAAATGAGAACAAGAGGCCCTGTGTTCAAGGCTCAGTACTGGCAAAGGAAAAAAAAAAATAACCACACAAGCACACACAAAAAAACTGCAAACAACTCATAAAGAAATGTCACATTGGGGCTGGAAAGGTGGCTCAGTGGTAGAGTGCTTGCCTTGCATGCATGAGGCCCTAGGTTCGATTCCTCAGCACCTCAGAAAAAAGCCAGAAGTGGAGTTGTGGCGCAAGTGGTAGAGTGCTAGCCTTGAGCTGAAGAGCTGAGGAGCGCCCAGGCCCAGAGTTCAGTCCCCAGGACCGACCAAAAAAAAAAAGAAAAGAAAAGAAAGAAATGCCACCTTAAGCTGGGCATCAGTAATCCTAGCTACTAAGGAGGCTAAGATCTGAGGATTATGGTCCAAAGCCAGTCCGGGCAGGAAAGTCCACGAGACTGATCTATAATAACCACTAGAAAACTGGAAGTGGTGCTGTGGCTCAAGTGGTAGAGCACACACGCCTTGAGTTGAAAAGCTGAGGGACAGTGCCCAGACTCAGAGTTCAAGCCCCATGACCGAGAGACAGACCAACAGACACAGACAGACAGACAGACAGACAGACAGACACACACACACACACACACACACACACACATCTTGACTTTTTGTTTAACACTGATTTTTAAAATCCCCCTCCCCACCCTTTTTTTTTTTTTTTTTTTTTGCCAGTGGCTTACATCTGTAATCCTACCTAGGACACTGAGATCAGCAAAATCTTGGTTCCAGGCCAGCTCAGGCAAGTAATCTGTCTCAAGTAATACAAAGCTGGGAATGGTGTTATCATCCCAGTTACTTGGAAAAATAAGTTGCAGGACAGCAATCCAGGGAGCCCCAGATATAATAAGACCCCAATCTCAAAAAATGACCAATTCAATCTGGGCCCAGTGGTATATACCTTCATCCCAGCTACATGGGAGGCTTAAATCAAGAGGACCAAAATGCCAGGCCAGGAAAAAAAAAAGTTCTTCAGACTCCCAACTCAACAGAAAAAGCTGAGTGTAATGTGTGCCTGTTATTGCAACTATTTTGGGAGGCATGGCACAAACAGTAGGGCTTCTTCCCTAGGAAAACACAAGCCCTTAAGTAAAAACTCTAATACTGCACACACACACACACACACACACACACACACACAGAGAATAAATTATATTGCATGCATTTGTCAGGGGTAGTAGTGGCATAGCTCAAGTGGCACAGTGCCTACCTAGCAAACTTGAGGCCCTGAGTCCAAGTCCCACAAGGACAAAATGAGAAGAAAAAAAAAAAAGACACTGCTCTGTTTCATGGAGCTAGTAGAAAGATAAAAAGAGACAGCACATGAGAAATGGTCTACAATTACAAAGTATTATGTATGAAAATATCAAAGTGAAACCTTTCTGTTCATTTATGAGGATAAATATTTTTGTCCCAATTAATGGATGTAGCTCAAGATGGAGTGCTTGCCTGGTATTCCAAAAGCCCTGGTTTCATCCTCAGAAAGGGAAAGAGGAAAAAGAAAAAAAAAGAAAAAGAAAAGGAGTATGCTAAACATTAATGTTAATTTCAACACCAATTTCCAACAGCCTTAAGCGAAGCAGACATTCACATATGTGCTGATTAATGTTATGGCAGAAAGGATACAATCCCACAGGTGAACTGCAAACCACTTAAGAATGAATGGCGGAAGTGGTGCTGTGGCTCAAGCAGTAGAGCGCTCGCCTTGAGCTGAAGAGCACAGCCGACAGTGCCCAAGCCCAGAGTTCAAGCCCCATGACCGACAAAAAAAAAAAAAAAAAAAGAATGAATGGCATTCAAATATCAGTATATAATACCACAATATAAACTGACTTAACTATCACCTATAGCTATCTAATAGATCCTATTTGCAAAACATAATTCAGAAACACATTTTCAGTAGTAAACAACAGTAGATTCTTAGTAAGTGAGCACAGCTCAAGCAATCAGTGTTTGACAGTCTTTTAAACAAAAAAGAAAATTGCACAGCTTTAAAGTAATACACTCACAGAATACCTAAATAGTACCTGCCATAGTTTTGAAAGATCTCCTTAAAAAAGAACACAAGAGTATTTATACTAAAAACATTGTCTTGAGAATACTATATGGCCTGCACAAGAACTTCTAGTCTCATTTCAATACCTTGATAAGAATAATGAATCTATAAATGGTTTACAGGTATTAGAAAGTATGACTCGATTCAAGTTGTAAATTTAAATTCTAATAATCATTTAATAATCATTTTTCAGATGTAAAATCCAGCTGAAGTGAAATAAAGGTTGATTCAACCATACTCACTTAAACTTGAAATGTAGGAAATTAATCAGTGAATTACTGTGAAATAGTTCTTATTCAAACATACTGGACTGAAGAATAAAAGTGGTATTATGAGTATCTTGCAGATCTATACTTCTCAAACCAAAACTTAAAAGTATATGTTGTCTGACAGGTACTATGGACAACATTGTAAATAAATACTTAAAATCTAACGAGCTCAAGAAAAACCAACATCCGAAGTCAGTGCAGGTATTTTTAGAATCAGTCGGCAGAAATCATTACTGTACAAACACCTGAAAGTTCGGATCGCTAAGAAATCATTCAGTCTTTGCTTCTGTTAAGTAATCCCTATAGCAACCAAAAAAGTTACTCTCCTACCTACGTCGGATTAATGTTCTTTCTTCACAGGTCCCCATGCTCAGGGATACATAACACCTCAAAAATATACAAAATTTCCAGTAAGTACCCAAAGGTCAATGTTCAACACAGAAATGGCATACAAATAGAAGACATTTAACACCCCCCTCCTTCCCACATATTCAAAAAGAAAGTCATTTATTCTGCTTTCTCTACACCTTGACTTTTGTTGGAAGTACATTCTGAGCGGGTGGATCGACAGTCTCCTACACCAAACCCTAACACGGAAGCATAGCCAACCAGACTCTGCCAGGCAATCAGGAAGATCCAGAGAATTACTAGAAACTGAAGTCCGCCGGACAAAGAGTTTGGGAAGAAGGGAGAACATTGTAGTCGCAAGTGAGTTTTAAAGCGGGGGGGGGGGGGGGGGGGGGGGGAGAGTGGAGGAAGAGAGAGGGAAAATTGGGAAAGAAGTTAGTTGGCAAGGTGAGAGAGAGGGAGGCGAGGCCGATGTCCGGTTTGAGTAGGCATTGCAGGGGCAGGAGATGTGGAAACGTTGAGAGTTCTGGGACAGCCCTGACCCAAGTAACACCCCACAAGAACGCAGGCAACGTGGCTCAGGGAGGACACGCGGGGCAGTGGGGCCCGCCCCGCTAATTCCTAGGTCCCCTGAATGAGCTATCGAAGGAGGATCGCAGCCCGAGAAAGTCAATGGGTTCAAGGAGGCCTGCCACCGGCCGGGCAACGCCACCGCAGGGAAACGCTGCTGCGGACAGAAGCTCTGGAATTCGGGCCTCGGCTCGGCCCTCTGGAAGTCCCGGCAACCCCTGGGGGGCTCCGGGGCCCCTCCTGGCCCAACCTGGGTCCGGTGTCTTCTCGCCCCCCACAAGCTGGGACCGGACCTCTGGGACTGACAGGGAGCTTCCGGCCGTAAGCTCCCAGCCGCAGCGGAGGGAGGCGGGGGGGTAAAAGAAACCATACGTTCCCCGCGCCGCGAGTGACACTCACCGGCCCGAAACCTCGACTGAAACCAGCAGCTTCGGGGGCGGCGGCAGCAGTGGCAGCAGGAACCGAACATCCAAAATGGCGGCTCCCTCGGCCTCACCACCGCTACCGCAGGCGGAGGGATCCTCGGGAGGAAGGGAGTGTTTAACTTCACACACCACCGTAGACACTTCCGTCACTAGCGCGCTCTTCGGGTCGATCCCGCGCCTCTCTCAGACTGCAACTTTTAGCGCCTCCGCCTTCAGATTTACTCAAGAACTCGGACCCCGCCGAGGACTATTTGCCAAGGAGGAAGCGACTGCCCCTTGGCAGGGCGACGCAGAGCGGGGCGAGAATCGGGGCTGTCACTGATGACGCGAGACGCGGCTGCCGAGTCACCGCTACGAGGAGTCTGAGCAACAAACTTCCGGTCGTCCCCGGAGTCGAACGAAACACTTTGGTTCCGCTTGGAGGGTGGAGCGTTGGACTACCCGGAAGCGGTGGTGCCACCTGAGTGGGGCAGGGCTATTCGAGGGGGCGGGGATATGCAAAATAGAGGAGGAAGTCCTAGAGGAGAGGCAGGTGGGAGAGGGGATCGGAGCCCCGGGCTGAACCGGTCTTAGGCTGATCTCCAAGTCGGTCCAGTCACCTTTGAGACCTCACCTTTCTGTTTAACTTCAGAAACGTGCTCCAAGTGGTCTCTGATCCTAGGTTTTTATGGTACCTTTGCAACAACTCTTAATAGAGAGAATGGATTCCAAACTCAAGTTCCACCCTTTGTGTGTTGGACAAAGTCTCTTAAAATACACCCAGGCCTCAGATTTGGAATCATGATAGCTAAAAACCCTTTCAGAATGGTGTCTCTCTGACTCCGGGAACGGATCTGAGCCAAAGCAAGTTGAACCACACAGTTCCTGCCTTGATAAATAATTACTAGCCTGTGCCTGGAGTCTTTTCCATGTGAATGCAAAGAGGTCCTTGATGTCTCCAGAAAGGTGACCTAGCTAGATTAAAGTCCTCCAGATAGATTGGCAACAAAATATTCCCAACAGTGAATAAAACATAGCCCCAATCTGGATGCCAAAGAGAACTGAACTAAAACAAATCTTGAGTTTAGGAGCCCGAGATCCTAAAAGAAAGTTGCACTCTTCTTTCTTTCTTTTCTTTCTTTCTTTCTTCCCCTCTCCCCCTCCCCTCTCTCTCTTTTGCCAGGGCTTAAACTCAGGACTTGGGAGCTGTCCTTGAGCCTCTTTGTGCTTAAGGCTAGCCCTCTACCACTTGAACCACAGCTCTACTTCCAGCTTTTTCTGATTTATTGGAGATAAGTCTCATAGGAGCTGGGAATGTGGCTCAGTGGTAGAGTGCTTGCCTAGCATGCATGAAGCCCTGTGTTCAATTCCTCAGTGTCACATAAATAGAAAAAGCTAGAAGTGGCACTGTAGCTCAAGTGGTAGAGCGCTAGCCTTGAACAACAGCTCAGGGACAGTGCCCAGGCACTGAGTTCAAGCCCAAGGACTGGCAAAAAAAAGTCTCACAGATTTTCCTGCCAGGGCTGGCTTCAAACTGGAATCCTCAGATCTCAGCCTCCCGAGTAGCTAGGATTACAGGCATGAGCCACCAGCACCCTGCAAAGTCCCTTTTACGCAGGGATTTCAAAATTAAATTAAATTGTATAAGCCAACTATACAGTTTTGTCCTTGAACTTCAAGGGACATGCAAGTGCCTAGAAAGGAGGCAGAGGGCATGAGGATAGGAATTATCATTCTTATTCTTAAATATTGACATCACATTGTACATAATGCACCTTCACCTAATTTGACACACTAGACAACTTCAAGTCAGAGTAATTTATTTAGTTTTACAAATGAGTTTTGCAAATTCAAAAATTATGTCTGGCTAAAAGTCCTCTCTCCAACTGGATTTCTGCTACAAGGTGCCACCTTTCGGGCTGGGAAGGTGGCTCAGTGGTAGAGCGCTTGCCTTGCATGCTCAAGGCCCTGGGTTCGATTCCTCAGCACCACATAAGAAAAAAAAGCCGGAAGTGGCGCTGTGGCTCAAGTGGTAGAGCACTAGCCTTGAGCTGAAGAGCTGAGGGACAGTGCCCAGGCCCAGAGTTCAGGCCCCACGACCGGACCCAAAAAAAAAAAAGGTGCCACCTTTCATATGAGAAAAAAGCCAAAAGCCAAAGCACTTATACAGAGAGTGAAATCAACCCAGAGCAAAAGTTCTGGAAAATAGAATAATTACTGAATTTAGGCCCTCATGTCTGTCTGCTGAACTTCTATATAGTTCAATCCTAAGATTGAAACCAGGTTTTTTTGACCCAGGCCAAAACTCCAAGAGTCCCAAATTAAATCTAGCCACTCACTCCTATATGCCAAATAAAGAGACAAGATGAAAGGCAGAGAGGGGAGATTTATTACATGGCAGCTGGACAGCACTTCAGTACATCTTCAGCCATCTTCAAAGGTACAGACATTGGCCTCAGGTCAAACTGGGAGAATTGAGTGATGGGGATAAGAAAGGTAATTAGAGTTAAAAGAGTTCCAAGTCCCAGTTATGGGTTGGTTGACCATTAGCTCAGTTTGTCTTAGAGAAATTGTTATCACTTTACTGGGCAGAATTTGACTCACAGATGGTCACCTGAATTTTTCTTTCTTTGCTTTGAGATAACAAGAAAGCATTGCTTATTCTAGAGGCGGTTTGCCTTTTACACAAAGTGGTGTTTGGGTTTTGTATTTTCTGTAAACGGGTGATTGCAAAGGGACTGCAGTAGAGAGTTAACTCAGATGAAAGAGCACAAAGTTGGGAGAATTTTGGTTAATTCATAGGACCCAGCAAAAGCATCTTTTAAATTACCTCTTAATAAATGATCACGTGGTTAATAAATAACCATGGCATAATGGAGACTTCTCTGAGCTACAGTTATTCATGCAGCATGCCCTAAATTCAATTTGGGAGTTTCTAAAAAAGTCAGAAGTGTGCAGATTGTGAAGTTAACCAAAGTACTCCATTTGAGACTTCACAAAAATAGTTTAGAGGCCAAAGTTAAGTTTACTACTACAAACCACAAAAGATAATCCATATTCTTAAGAAAATGAACTTTTGAGCATGTGGTTATAACATATCTGTAATCCCAGGACTTGAGGGTCTGAGACAGAAAGATTATGAGTTCAAGGCCAACCTTGGTTGTATAGCTTTAAAAAAAAAAAGAAAGAAAAAAAATCTATGTCAAATAGCAAAGGGTTAAAAGAGAAATGGCAACATACACCTTCTCCCTATACCGTTTTACTTATAACTTTCTTTTTAGCACTGGTAGTGAAACTTGAACTCATGGCCTAGGTACTAGCTTCTTAGCTCAAGGCTAACCCTCTACCTCTTGAGCAACAGCTATACTTCCGGCTTTTTGGTGGTTAATTGACTTTGCTTCCCAGGCTGGCTTTGGACATTGATTCTCAGACTTCAGCCTCCTAAAGTAGCTAGGATTACAGGCATGAGCCACTGGAGCCTGGTTATTCTTCTTTATTTATAATTACCAACCCCAGGCCAATTACAAAAAAAATTGCCAAATAAGTTTCCAAACTGAAAATTAAAAATCAATTACCACTATGCATAGCATAGTCATCATTAACACTCTGTGGCTTGTGATTTAAAATTTAGGAAGGTTTACTCCCCATTATCTCTAACATAATTCCTAATTTCACATACATATTACAGCTCATCCATTAAAGGAAATGCCATGATGCTAATAAAAATGAAGGTTTAGCTCTCCACTATCATGGTACATTTGAAGTAATATTATAAAAATGAACTCTTGAAAATTATATGCATACTTAGAAAACAACTTGAAGAACAAAATTGATATATAAAAATGGATAGGCAGGCTGGGAAGATGGCTCAGTGGTAGAGTGCTTGCCTTGTGTGCATGAGGCCCTAGGTTTGATTCCTCAGCATCACATAAGCCGAGGGACAGGACCCAGACCCAGAGTTAAGGCTCCACAACCAGCCAAAAATTAAAAAAGAAAAAGAAAAGAAAATGGATTGACTAGGCTAGGAATGTGGCTTAGCAGTAGAGTACTTGCCTAGCAGGCATGAAGCCCTCAGTTTGATTTCTCAGCACCACATAAACAGAAAAAGCCGGAAGTGGCACTGTGGCTCAAGTGGTAGAATGCTAGCCTTGAGCAAAAAAAGCTCAGGGACATTGCTCAGGCTCTGAGTTCAAGCCCCAGGATTGACCAAAAAATGGATAGTCTGGCATCATGGCTCAAACAATAAAGCACCTGCCTAGCAAGCAGGAGCCCATGAATTGAAATGACAGTACCACCAAAACAAAGTTTGTTTTTCGTCAATGCTGGGGATCAAATCTAGAGCTTAAACATCTCAGTGGTAGAGCAATTTCTCTGTCAATACATCATGAACTACATCCATGGCCCAAATTATCTAATGAGCATGCTATCCTTTTATTTCTTTTTATTAGTTCATATTAGTTATAGGTGGGGGGATTCATTGCTACATTTCCACAGGTATTTAAATGTATTCTAATGAATTTCATCTCCTCTATTACTCTCTTTTCCTCTCCTCCTGAGTGTGTGTATGAAAGACAGAGAGAGAGAGAGAGAGAGAGAGAGAGAGAGGGTGAGAGGGAGGAAGGAAGAGGGAGAGGGAGAAGGAGGGAGAGAGGGAGAGACTGAGTGTACTGGGACTTGAACTCAGGGCTTCCTGATCTCACTTGGCTTTTTTGATCAAGGCCAGTGCCTTATCACTTGATCCATACCTCTACTTCTTTTTGTTTTTTCTTGTGGTTAATTAGAGATAAGAGTCTCACACGCTCTCTCTCTCTCTTTTTTTTTTCTTAGTCATGGGGCTTAAACCCTGGGCCTGGACACTGTCCCTGAGTTCTTCAGCTCAAGACTATCACTCCACTTGAGCCCCAGCACCACCTCCAGTTTTTCTGGTGGTTAATTGGAGATAAGAGTCTCATGGAGCGGGCTGGGAAGGTGGCTCAGTGGTAGAGTGCTTGCCTTGCATGCATGAGGCCCTGGGTTCGATTCCTCAGCACCACATAAGCAGAAAAAGCCGGAAGTGGCACTGTGGCTGAAGTGGTAGAGCACTAGCCTTGAGCTGAAGAGCTGAGGGACAGTGCCCAGGCCCAGAGTTTAGGCCCCATGACCTGCAAAAAAAAAATAGTCTCATGGACTTTCCTGCCAAGGCTGGCTTTGAATTATGATCCAAGATCAGAGAGACAAACAGCACATGTATCCCTGATATGTGGATGTTAAATTCAAAATGCAAGGAGATATGACAACGCAAATGGGACTCAAGAAACAAAGGACCTCTACTTAATTTGTCC